TGGGGCCGCATCTCATAGCCCTTCATCACCTAACTCGGTCGGTGGTCGCATTGATTGGCAACAGGAGTGCGAAGTTCAGTCTTGAAGTGAAGTCTGACCCTCAGACTCCTGACCCTTGCGTGTTCCGCATCGTTGGAACATGGGCCACCATGGCGTGATGGACACTCACCTATGGGTCACGACGCAGACACCGCCCCAAGTTGAATGACCAAATAACCGTATTTATGGTATTTCAACGGTCATTCCATGGTTCCACGCTGTTCCATGCGTTGTTTGGAGACCCAAAGGCCCCACGCCCCATGGATCCAATGCGCGCGGGCCGCGCGCGGTGCCGATGCTGCGGCGCCCCACACATGGACCTTTCACACAGACCTCGCCCTCCTCTCCAACGCCTGACACCATTCGTGGGGGTCGGTGAGAACACAAAAGGGAACCAAAGGCCGTGTTAGACACCCAAAACAACCTCTTTATTGCGCTTTGGACATCAGTTGAAAAGCAAGGCTCGGATGAAGAACCTCACCCAGTCAGTTAACATATGTTGATTTGTCATCTTTGAGAGGGTCCACCTCAAAGCTAATTTGTAAGCCAAAATGAAGTTAATATCATCCAAGCTCAAGTTTGCCCCCCTACCCAGTCAAACAACAAAGGCTCCGCAAGACGATGTTTGCTTCTCAGCTTAGCAGCCATGAGCTCCCTTCACTTTCCATGCGGATCGGGCCAGTGGAGCCAGTCGGGCGAGTGCACCAAACATAAACCATCCCACACATGAACGGACCAGCTCACGAACAACTCCTGACTCGCCCCTTTTTTGGGGGGAAGGCGCCAGTAATAGGGGTTCCATCATTTGCCGCCAAAGGAAGTGCTCGGATGTTCATAAACCAATCACGACCACCCCAGAGGCCGTATCACTCATGGTTTCAAATACAGTCAACGTTCCAGGCACGAAAAACGAAACGGCGCAACCCACCTCGCCTACACGCTTGTTGCTGGGCCAGGCTTCCATCACAGCCAGCTCAGGCCTGAGTGCCAGGTGGACCAGCTGGCACAGGTTTTGGAGCGTGTTCAACGACCCAAACACCTAAGGGCCCAAGAGCAGCCCAGGTGAACAAAAGTTCAGGAAGTGCATGGTGACCTCAGTAAAATCGTTCTGGAGGTGACTCAGGTTGAATCGATTGAGATGGTCGTAGATCGAAGTGCTGGGCTTTTGGCGGCTAGGGGCCGGAAAGCCACTGGTATCTGTAGTGTATAGTTTACCATGTTATACCTATAACCTCTGGAGATACAAATGTCCTCCACCTGGAATCTGGGATGGGAATTCAGCCGTTTCAAGAACTGCCGTTTCAGGAAAAAGACCTCCATTTCAGCTGTTTCTGGTTCATGTAGGCTTGCCATGAAGAGAGTCACTCAACAGCACACTCACAGCAGAGTGCAATAAATATTGCAAGACAAGAAAACAGAATACATCAACAACAGTGCACACAACCACACATGTTTTATGGTCTTTTCAATATCCTATCAAAACAGAGGTCAATTGGGCTCTAGGTATAGACAACCATATCAACCATGTCAACCCTTTTGTTCTGGCCTCCCCTTCAGGCATCGCCGGTCATATCTCCAAACGCGCGTCCCTCGGACGCACTTTTGAGATACAAAAAGAGAAAATCCACGGGTTGGGAGCTTCCTACACCACACCCACTTCAAGCTGCAAGCAGCTGCGCAGTCAACCTCAAAAGGGTCACTGTCTGTGGCAGACGTGCCTATTTGGACCGACACTTGGCAGGCGTGTCCGCGCCTCATTCCCCCCTCCCAGTGAATACATGAGAAAAAACAACAAACTGTGGGTGTCACCCAAAATTCTCCAACTGGTCTCTTCCCAGGTTGCTTTTGCTCGAAAGACCTGAGCGATCAAATAATACAAATGCTCTTCAGAACTGCGGGTGCTAGGTTGATTGCTCTGCAAAAAAGGAGCCTGCCCGAGAATTTGCCAGAAAAAAACAGACGAAAACCGGCCCCGGGGTCGCGGTGTTCCCCTTTGGAGGACCGGAAAGCGGCTCGGCCCCCGCGCCCCACCGCGGGGCCGACGGATTTCAGCTTCCGGACGCCGTACCTGGCGAAAGCTGTGGAAGGTCGTGGTTGGAAGAATCCAAGGCTTATGACCTCCTGCAAATTGCAATTGAATATACTATAAATCTGAGTGAATTCCCATAAAAATCGGAGTTGACTAACATGGACCATTGAACAAAGATCCTGCCAGGGCCCACATTTGGCTCGCTCTACGACTTGGTGGTGATAGAACCCGGAGGACCTGCGAGAGAACCTAACTCAGCGCCATTTCCACCACATGCGCATGCATCAGAAGGGGACGGGTAGCGACGTCTGGAAGCCAACATGCATCGGAACCACAGAGAATCAAATGATGGAAACAACTGACAGCACCCCGAAATTTCTGTTGATTCGACTGGGGAACACGAGGGCTGTCAAGTTGGCTTCGCTTTGTCGCAACCTAGTAGATGCACCTTTGGTGCGGCCTCTGGCCTTTGGATCAGTCTTCCTTAATCTAAGTTCCTCGCTCTCATCCCACAAAGCTAGTCGTGAAGTTCTGAGCAGTTCTTCTAGAGCACCATTGGAACGTGTTATGTCAGCTTTTGTGAGTCCGTCAGCCACCATACGAGGATGCGGAGCCCAACGAACGACACTTCTGGCTTTCTGCAGCGATTCCAAAATGATGCTCAGTTCGACTGATGTTCTTCTATCCTGTCGAGACATTGGTGATTCTTTCAGCAGGGCATCATACAGGCTTTTGGCGTCAGTAATGTGACATTGTTGAAGCCTTTCTGCCAACTCACAATTTTCTCGGAGAACAGGATAGTGGGGAGCAAGTGAAAGCGTCCAGTCCTTCCTGGAAACGTCTCCTTTCACAATGTCCCTGATCATGATCTGTATCCATTCGACCTCGCCCAACGATTGACTGAAGGCAAGAGCTTCGCTGGCTAATGTTGATGCCACTTTTCGTCTGAGCTTGGAGGATCTCCAGCTTAGTATGCTCACCTTGGTTCGATTTGACGCGCTTGGAAGCTGATCTGCTGCCATGATCACCCAAGCACCTTGCACGGTGTCTGTTTCATTGGATCCGGGCGGAGGTAACCCATCAACACCTCCTGCGTCCGAGGCTGAAATCAGAATCATGTCGTCATTGTTGAAGCTGTGCAGTGTGAGCGACTGTTGAGCCGTATTTCTCAAATGCGCTATCAATTTGTTCAGACAACAAATGTCATGGGTCACTGCTTCTTTCAACCTAGATGACAGGATGCTGACTGCGCCTGCTGCTTCTGGTCGGGTTTGGTGTGCCACCCACGCTACTCGATATAGCATAGATCTAAAGCTTTCAAACTCATCTGGTAGCAAGGTTGCCGACTTGTTGCCTTTTCGGCCGAGAGACAACTTCACCGGATGGAGCTTCTCGAGGATGTATTTTTCTTGATTCATCTCAATTCGGCTCGGTAGGATCTTGACATGTCGCCCAGCAAAGTCAGCCTCGTCATACTCCATTTTGCCAAAACGAAACCTAGAAGCGAGAGTGTCTAGAAGCTGATCTCTCAGTTCTGGTCTGGCTGCCACGTTCAGGTCGTCAACTTCGACCAAAATCATGGCCTCCACTTCATTGTTCTCATCCCTTCTCACATACCAACATGGTTCCAGCAAACTTCGTTGAAAACCGAGCTCCATGAGAAAATGAATGACTGTTTGATGCCACCGAATCGGGGCATCTTCCAGACCATATACTGGAGCTACCAGTTGAACCAGGGTTCCGGCAGGAAGACCTAGTCCTTCACAAGCTTCAACATAGAGTTCACCCTGTGGCCTATCTAAAGGTTCGGACTGGCAGAATGCTTGAGTCACGTCGCAAAAGGTCACACACATGTTCATGTTGGTGCAAAGCTGAAAAAAGATGGAGATGCTTTCGGTCATCGGCATGGGAGAGTACGTGGTGTAAGTGCCGCTATCTGGATCACTGTGGCCAAGCACACACCATCGAGACTTGAATTTCCACTTGCCTACTCCAGGCATGGGCTTCTTTCTTCTGACAAACCTTGACTGCAGTATGCGATGAGGTCGTTCTCTTCTGATCTGTCTGGATTCCTTCAATGTGAGCACTCTGACGGCGTGAAGATCTTGTATTGTCTCCCACTCTGCTCTGTCTGATGCTCGAAAGCCTTCTTTTTCTTCTGGTGTAGCCTCCTTCATGTTGAACTCTTGAGACTTGCTTTTGTAGGGCTTGGCCATGAGACAAGCTTCTGAGCCGGAAATCTCGAAGAAATCAATACCGGCCTCAGACATGTGGCTCATGAGCTCTTCTTTCTGCTCGGAGGTTTCCTTGTCGTCTTCTTCTTCCTGAATTTTGTCTAGATCTGGTCTTGTTGAGGATGCTGAACCGGAAGGAATTGATGATGCCGAAGCGCTCGAATTCGAGAGATCGGGCGCGCTCTCTCCCCTGTCGCGCAACCTCCGAATCTTCTCTTCTCTATCCAGTCTTCTCATGGTCTGCATGGCGATCCTCTCCAGTCGTTCTTGATCTGTGTCAACGACTGTCCTCTTCTGCCCCGTTGGTTTCTTCTTCTTGTCTCTGTCTTCTTCTATCATCTTCTTCTTGTTCTGACCGTCATCACATCTGGGCTCTTCTGATTTTCTCTTGCTTGAGAGAGGCTTGTCACTGACCGAGTCGATGGTCGCGGAATCCGCATCCTCGTCAGCTATCACGGGTGCTGGCACACGAATCTCTCTCAAGGGGACGTGCTCTTGTCCTTCTCCTTGTTGACTGTTGTCATCTGCTCTGATCGTCTCATGTACCAAAGGCTGCGCCACTTCTGTTGTTGGTACTAGCTGTTGTTCTTCGTCAGGAGGAGGAGTTCCTTCTAAAGTCACATCCACAGCACCAGCTTTACTAGATCTGCCTTGCTTCACGAGCTCCTGAAGTTCACCCGAGCGAGCCATCTCAGCTCCTATGGACTCAAAGTGGGAAGCTGGTCGGAGTTGATCTGAATTGCACTTCCAAAGTCGAGCTCGCGTGGACACCCACACTGTGTGTCCAGCCTGCAAGACCACTATGCCTGGTCCTGTCCATCTAGCTCTAGTCAAATGCCCTTGCCCCGTGCCAGGAAACTTTCGCCACACGAACACCCACTGTCCGATCGCCCACTGTCTTTGTTTGTGAGCTCTATGAGTGGAGCTCAGACGAATCTTCTCCCGACATGACGCTTCCACACAGAGTTGTCTGGCTCTTTGTCGAATTTGGTGTGATCTATTGTAGGCTGCTGCGGCAGTGTCTTGGTCAAAAGGGTCGGTCTCAATCTCCTGCCATCCTATCTCTTGCAACGTGTCATCTGATAGCAACTCTGCTGGCACACGTGGATTAGCTCCGAAGACAAGTTGGCATGGACTATACCCGCTTCTCGAGAACCATCTGTTTTTGCAGGCCACTATGGAGAGAACCAGTTCTTCCAAGTCAGAGCTTTCAATGAGCGTAGTTTGACCCGAGTTGATCTCTAGCTCAGCTCTCTCCTTAACCCATCCTCCGTGGCGCTCAACTTTTCCGTTCTGCCACGGTGAGGCTGCATCTGTGATGATCTGGAGTATTCCATGCTGTTCGACCGATCGTTCAAATGATTGCTTGAACTCTGAACCACCATCACACACTATTGTTTCCGGAAGGCCAAACGGTTGAATCCAAACACGGTTGAACAAAGTCCATGTTTCTGAGGAGGAGGGAACACCACCTTCATAGTTCCGTAGCAGACCCACCTGTTGAAAATTGGTGCCATGACAGATTGCGTTCAGGAAGGCGAACGTCCGATTGGAGAAGGACAGGAAAAAATAGTCCAGGGCTACGATTCTGTTGAATGAAAACGTGCGTGGCAAGGCAGCATGTCTACGCTCCACTGGTTTCCTTTGTCTCATGCAATGCTCGCACCTGAACTTGTCTTTGACGTATCTGAGAACACCCTCCTTAGCACCGGCCGCCTTGAGCATAGCAAGCATCTGATCCTTGCTCAAGTGTCCCATGTTGAGATGCATGAGCGTGATCTTCTTCTTCTGCTCTTCCGTCAGTTGGTCGGAGAGATCTCTCTGAAGAGTGCCAGGAGTGCGAGGTTGTCGTTCAACTCCTTCTTGTTCTGCCTCGTCCTCATCTATCACATCGTCGACGTGAGTGGCGCCAACGAACTCACTGGCACCCATGAGGATACCCTGAATCAATGACCTGACCATGTCTGGGGGATATACTTGAGCCTTCTTTGGAAGCCCATTTTCCAGTCGGACATGCTCATGCGATCTCCGGCACTGGTACTGCGACATGACTGCCGCCGCTCCCAAATGGTTCGTAGCCAGGGCGGTCGTCTTTCGCGAGGGACCCTCTGGGCACACCTGAAGTCCTAGCTCACACTGGTCAAAGAAAAAGAAAAAGACCTCATCATTTTCCATCAGCCACTTACTTCCGTGCGTTGACCAGGACGAGGCTCCAGCCGGCTGCTCCAGGACGAAATAGCGACCTTTCTTCATCTGGTGTTCGGCCACTTGCAAACAAAGATGCCACATCACCAGAGCCTCCATCTGCTGACGAGTGAGCTTCTCGACTGGAATACGTTTCAAGTTCACATTCATCAGCTGACTGAACATCTTGCAGTCGGGACTCATGAGGATGACACCTGGCTCTTGTTCTTCTATGGTTTTCCACATCTTCTTTCGATCTTCTGGACACAGTGCGTTCCAGCCTAGCTTCAAGTCGAAGTTGGATGGCTCAGTGACTTGAAGTCCTGCTTGAGCTGCTTCCTGTGTGATTCTTGGAGGAGAGAAAAGTTCCATCACCTTGAGACTCGAGGTCGGTCTCTTCTCCAAGTCTCCATGGCGACACCTTCGAACGTTGACTACCCCCAGGGCACTAAGCTCTTGCGAGCTAGGTGTGACGTTTCGATCGAAGCGAACGGGTCGAGTGAGACACTTTTGTTCTGTCAGACGACTAACAGCTTCTCTAGTCTGTCTTGATTGGCTCACAGGCTCTTTCTTTGTTCTTGACTGGCCATCAGGCTCTTCTTCATTTCTTGAAAGGCTCTCCGGCTCTGCGTTTTGTTCTTGTGACCACTCTTGGTTCACTTCTACCACAGAGCTCTTTGGCTCATCACTGAATTCGGTGGATTTCGAAAGACTCTCTATTGAATTCAACAGTGCTCTCTTCTGCCGCTTAGAAAGGTGAGATTCTCTGCCTTCGGGGAATTCACTACAAATCAGCTCATCAGCTAAATCCTCATCGAAGAAAACAAACACTTCACGAGTCTCGCCTCCTGAAGCCCTCTGCACTCCAGAGAAGCAAACAAGATTCTCCCTTTGGCTTAAGAATCGTCTTGACGTCTCATTTCGAGACACTACCATCCATTGAATAGAGCTAGAATCTGTACACTTAAAGGTTCCATCCTCGGATGATGACGATGTGAAACTATCGGCGGCCTCTACGTCTCTCAGCGTCCCATGCCCCCGTGAGGAGGCCCACGCTGCACAGAATCCCAGTCCTCGTCTTCCGGCAGCGGATGTTGACTGGCCATCGCAAATCCCTGAGCCAGAAGACGATGCAATTCCTCCGGAGGGAGGGCAGGAAAGGCAGCCCCTGGCTGGCGAGCTGGATCCGTCTGCTGCATGATCCTCTGAAGGGCCAGAAAGGATTGCTGCATCTGAGTCTCCTGCCTTTCCTGAGCTCTCTGGGATTCTTCCGCTTGGTATCGAAGGGCTTGATGAAATCCCTCCACCACTGGCGTCATCACTTGGGCCATCACCGCCGCCGTGCTCTGCACGAGCTGCTGATTCTGTCCTCTGAAGGCCGTCTCCAAGTCTGGCGTGAGGGGCTGAGGAGATTCTGAACTGCTCGCCCCCATCGGCACCCTGGTGGTGCCCATTGCTTCCGAGGCCACATAGGTCTCGACCACGGCACCCTTCGTCTTCGGAGGTGGGTTGTCCGGACCATATTTCTGATAGCCTGTTTTGGTTTGACACAGACTGCATCGGGTCCAAGTGCCGTGTTGATTGGCTCCCTTTGTCTGATACTCCTTCGGATGTGTGCAAGCCTGCTGCACCTTCTCCGAAGAGGGAATCATTCCTTGTGAAGGTACCGGACGAGACGTGGTGAAGTCCCCGGGATACGCGCTCTTGTTCAAATTCTTCAGTGCAGCTGGACCGCCGTTCACCATGAGCAGCTTTCTCGTGAAGTGAAACCAGTGATTCTCCAAGGTTTCCCGATCCTGCTCGGAGCGGATCCTTGATTTCTTCACACGGGTGTTGAGCACGCCCTGCATCGCCATTTCGATAGCTTGAGATCAAGTATTGGGCTCGTTTGTCGTCTTCGCGGAGTGTCGTTTCAAGCTTGCTAGAGGCGACGAGGGAACGATCCGTGTCAAGACAGGTGATGAATGCGTCATGCACTGACAAATGAATCTCTTCATGCGAAAAAAGGGAAATGATTTCAGACTCAGACCAATGTTGTTTCGTGAAATCTAGCTGACAGTCAGTGACTTCAAGTTCTCTGCTCAAAAAGGAAGCGTCTGAAGCGTCGTGTCGTTTCGCGTTTCGTTCAAGAAGACATGCTCTCCCTCCCAACGTGACCCATGAGGTGCGGAAGTTCCAATGTTCTGCAAAATCTGAAAAGGCGGGAAACAGGAAGAAATTACCAAGCAACTTGGATTTCACGGCTTTAGCCTGACGTACCTGTGGCCTGCTTACGCCTGCTAGACAAAAGAACTGAGAGAGCTCTGCATCGGACACGCCTCACGATCGCTCGAGTGCAGGTTGAAAGCACCTGCTGGCAGGCCATACTTCTCCGTCACTTGCGGAGGCACTGGAAAATCACTACCATCCCACTCTGCTACAGCCAGTGTTCGATGACCCGAAGGGAGGCGCCACATCCTGGCCATGGTGTCAAACCGCTTGAAATGGATCTTGTCCTCTTTGGTGTCAATCACCGCGTGTCCGTGTTCCACAGGCCGATGGACAGCAGCTGAGGAATGTCGTCTTCCACAACGGTGAGCTTGATCACACCTGGTTGCCCCCCCAGGATGCAGGGTGCAAGCGCCATGAACAGGGTCTTGGCAGCTCCTCCCACTCCCGACGCCTTCGAGGGCGTTTCTTGCAGCTTGATTGTCCTCAAGCCATTCTCCTTCAGCTTGGCCTGAAGCTTCTCGAAGCTGCGAAGTCCCACCAGATCCTGCGAAGCACCAGGATCAACTATGGCTTCCCCGGGAGACAGTTCCAGGAAACATGCCTGATCCGTCGCCTGAAAGCTGCCATAGCTCACCAGGAATGAGGGACTCGAACGACTGGCTTCGTCCGAGTGGCCAAAATAGGCAAAAGCTGACACCTTGGTGTTCTTGTCTCTAGACGCTCTGAAACCATCTTGACTGGGCTCGTGGCAATCTTCTCTCCAATGACCTTTCTTACCGCAGTTGCCACAGAAAGTCACCTTCTTGATCTCCTCGATCGACAACCGTCTCTTGTGAAAAGGTTTGGACGGCCTCGAGGACTTGTCGTCAAAGTGTCTGCGGTCTTTCTTTCTGGCGGCCTTCAGCAGCTTGTTTTCTTTCCACGTGCGCCGTCGATCTTGTTGAAGATCAGCCATTAACGACACGGCTTCCTCTTCTCGCACCTCGTTATACTCCAGGGCATTGAAGATCACCTCATCATCGACCTCGGAGTCTGTGTCCTCGTTCTCCGCGAGGTCCCCATAGTAGCTGACCTTCCCCGGCTTGATGATGCTCTCTTCGTCAAGGTCTAGAACCTGCAGAGCCTTCTTCACCTCGGAGTACGAATGTTGTCCCTTGGTCAACACTCTAAGACTCTGCATGCTCTGCTTGGAGAGTCCTGACTGCTCTTCCAGCAAAATGCCTTTGATCTCCTCGGGGATGCTCAAAAACCTGCCGGCGATTTCGAACTGAGATTCCCTCCTCAGGGCATACTGCGCCAAGCTCTCATCGTTCTTTCTGTTGCCCTCGAACAGTGCGGCTCGCACTGCCCTTCTTCTCTCGGAATCCTCTTTTTCTCCGGCCAGAACATCCAAAACGCCTAAGACCTCCGTGATGTAGGCTGGACTTGCTAGTGTCGCTTCTGACACGTGATCCAGCTTGGCTTGAAGATCCCACTCCAAAGTCTTGAGCACCTTCTCAGCCCTACGCCAGATCGCCACGTCGGTGTTGGTGTTCCACCTCAGCAATGCTCTGCGCCAAAGCCTGTAGTTGGACCATCCTGACCACGGGGGAGGATCACTGTAGTCTCCTTTGGAGTGATATCCACCGTTCCACCAACTGCCTTGCGGCCCATGCTCTCCTGAGGCCGACGTCCTTCTGGACCATGGATCTGCACCTGTTCGTTGCCAAGGATCTGAGTGAGTCTCTCCCGACGGCGGTAAGGTGGACGCCGCTGCCCCAGAGGCCTCTCCACCTTGTGCCTTGTCCCCACTGGAGTACCACGAGCTGTAGTTCCAGCTCGAACCCCGGTACCACTTCCAGTTCCACTCATCCCACTTGGCCTCGGTCCATGTCTTCTGTTCGCCTTTGCCTCCAGACGTCGTGACCGTCCCCTTCTGCTCTGTCTCCGTGATGTCCTCGCGATCCTCAGGATCCTCGCTTGTCCCTGGACTTGGCATCCAGTGCTCCGGTTACCACTGATAGAACCCGGAGGACCTGCGAGAGAACCTAACTCAGCGCCATTTCCACCACATGCGCATGCATCAGAAGGGGACGGGTAGCGACGTCTGGAAGCCAACATGCATCGGAACCACAGAGAATCAAATGATGGAAACAACTGACAGTGGTCTTTTCTTTCTGAAGGTGCCAGGGCTCAAAGTGAAGGGGTCCCGCATCTTTGAGCCAAAGATCTGCGGTTCAGGACCATCACAAAAAGAGCTTTTCCTCCACCGCACCTGGAGATGTGAACCAAGGCTTTGAAGGTCTACCTTTTTCATGGACAGTTCTCAATATTACCTCCCTGCAGAGGACCACATGGAATCCCAAAACCACGTCGGGTTGTATTCGGGAAATGGTCGAAACCAGCGATCAATTCTCAGGTTCCATGGGATCCTTGACGGGAGGGTCCGAGCTTCGACCACCTCGCCCACGTCGCGGGGTGTCTTCGCCTGGGATTGGAGCACAGCGGATTCGCCTGCGCGTTCGAGGGCGGCCGTGTTCGTCCGAAGCGGGCAGGACGTTGAGTTGGAATGGTCCGATTCCAGGATTTGGCCTTGGGGAATGGTGCCTCCTGGTTATCAGTTGCGGGAAGATCTTCGAGCGAGAGGTCAGTAAAGAACTGAACACCTGTGACTGAAAAACGTGCCCACGTCCTTAGTCCAAGTGTTCTCAAACTCACTCCTGACAAAAGACAAAGAAGTGATCCCATTCTATTGATATCAGTGTCAATCTCTGGCCAATGGGGATTCAACTAGACTATGTTGATCTATTTTGTAGTCTCAAGAATCATCAGAGATCTGCGGCATCTGACACGCCCAGATTTGGGGCAGGAGTCTCCGGACCGTCCATGCTTGTGTGCGTCCAAACAAATCGACTGCTTTGCCTCCAAAGAATTCCTTTGGTAAGGAAAAACTGCAAAAAAGCAACATCAGGCAGGTATCTTCAAACCCCAGTTTAAAGCATTTGAGCGAATGATAGTCACACATCATGTGTACGAATCAATCTTTGTCCGGGCTGCCGGTAGCTGCCATTCGTTTTGCAATTTGATGATAGTCAATTCGCCCTCACCCACCGGGGTAGGCAATCAGTACTTAATGAACAAAGGGGGACATGCCGTACTTCATGAACAGTTGGATCCCATCCCCTTCGGGTCTCATCACTTCGTCCCATCCTCCAAGCGAGACGAGAAAAAGGGCGCCTCGGTCATGGAGTAAGCCGGGAGCACCGTGGCCTCGGACCCGGCACAGTGGGCACATCCAAAAGATGGAGGACTGAAGCCAGAGGCCCACGGCTTGCAACCAACTCTTTTTCATGGCAAACAAACCTAGAAATTTGGAGCACAGCTGTACTCGGCCTCCAGGGTCCACATTTTCAAGAATACCCATAACTGATTCTTCAACACTCTGCTTTGCTGCATGCTGGAAATCCCCAACTGTAGACTGTAGTTTACCATGTTTGGTCCATGAAAAGGCCCGCATCTGGTACCATCTGGTATGAGTACGCCACATGTGCAAATCACCCACACAGCAACCCCAAGAAACGTTCCTTCGCGGTCACAAACATCATCAAACAATATCAAACATCTCTCCCCAGACACTGCGTCAAGAGGCAGGGCTGTTGGCAAATGATGAAATTGGTACTATATGAGTCACCTGATGCCCAGATTTCTGTCCATACATTTCACCTCATCGCGAGGTAACACCTCCGGTCTCCCCCCAGTCCCCCCCTACTTGGTCAATAGACGCACCCGGTGGTTTGGCTTGCCACGTCGGGAGAAAATCCGTCCAGTCCGAAACGAAGCATCGAGGCCTGGAAGAAGTCTTCCATCTGTTCGGCTAAACTCGGCCTCAGAGTTGACTCAGCTGGAAAGGAACATCACAGGCTGAGATGACATACCACTTCTTCTGCATCTGGCCACAAATGCATACAAATGCTACACATGAGCTTTCGCCTTCGTGTCATCTACCCCCCAAATGACACGGCGATAGAGATACATAATAGCCAAGTGATAGCAAAATTCACAAAAATAGCACTGGGGAACATCCTAAGACATGAGGCATTGTGCAATAGAGCTACCGTACTGGTCATAAACGCACAGCTTTTTCGCGCATGACCTATAGGACCCTTGGGTGCGTTCTGGCTGTTCTGCTTTTTGGGGCGAAAACGACATCCACCGTGCACCTCCGTCCCAGCGGCGCACAGACGGAGCGACGGGATGTGTTTCCTCGACTCCTGCCAGGTCCCAGCGGCAAGAGCGCCGCAGAGTCGTTCCGGATGACCTTCAACGGACTCCTCAGAGCATTCGACGAAGTTCACAAGTTCACTCGACCTCTGCCGGTGGACCAGTAAAAAAAGAGGGCACACCCGTGGAGATCGATCTCTTTGGATTGGTCCTGAAAACAGATCAATACGGGTGTCACCGGTTGGTTTGAATGAACATGCCATGTGTGAGTGTTCTTCAGGTTTCTGCGAATTCAAGACGGATGTTCACAGCCCTTCTTTCTTCCTGGTCTTCATCCGGCTAAGGCGTTGCTTGAGAATCGCCCTGTTGGGAGAGCGACAGCGCACGTCCCAACGAACGTGCGACGTTCGCACCCACACGACAGAAGACGAACGAAGAGAACGGA